TCTTTCTTTACTTACCCTCGGAATATGGTGAGATTCTTTTGCCATAAGTGGATGTTCTTTGAAATTTTGAAGGCTCCTCGGGGAACATGTCGCTGAGTTTACGAGGCAGACAAATACCCATATAACACTGCTCTTTGGTTTCGTCCTTAACAGAAAACTTTTGAACGCTCGAAAACGAACGTAAACTTAAACTGTCGGGAAAATTTTTACCGAAGCTGCCCCTTTGTTCTGACAACATGCTGAAAACAAACAATTAAAAAAATAACAAGGACAGTAAAACGTATTAGTACCTAACATTCGTATAACCCTCGAAATTTGTTAGTGTTTTAACTGACTTGACGGTCATTGTTGATTCCATACCAAAATGACTCATTGAACGCAAGGAACGCAATTTGGCATACCCCATGAGGTCTCTGTAACTTAGTCTACTGCTCGTACTGCCTGCAGGAGAAACAGTAGATCTATCTGATGGTGTAGTACCACTGTAACCTGTATTTACAAGAATGAGAAAGTAAAATATATAACATTTTATTTTCCAAACAGTAGGCTCACTTTGAACAGAAATTCTTCGAGTAGGTTCTCCACCACGACCCATTTTTAGGCCGCTAGTTTTTAATGTACTCAGACTTGAGGAACTTGGAATAGGACTCAGCGTTTGTACTCTTTCGCTTAAATATAATGAAATATAAAAATTTTTGTTCATCAGAAAACAGAAAACAATCGAGACATTTATCAGTTAATAGATAAAATATTAGAAATTAATTATTGTACTGTTATATTACTGCAATGGTAAATATAGCAAAATCATAACTCACTTTGTAGTAGCTTTTCCCAAAACCGATTCACAGGAACTAACTCCTGAAGTGGTCGACTCAGTCACCGAATTGTCGCGATAGCGATGGGGAAGTTCTGCGACCATTTTGTATTCCACCTTTTCTTGCATTTTCTGGTCGTGTAATTTCAACACATCAAAGGTTTTCGACTCCGACAACGATCTTTTGTGCTGCACGTTCGATGAAGTTTGATTACTAGGAAGGGTCGAAGACTTCTGTTGTACCGAAAGATTTTGAGCTGATACTATAAATAAAATTGTATTTACTATTTGATAATCATTAATTACATTAAGTAAATTATTAAATTAAGTTATCATTTAACTTTGTTATTTTTCTTTTTTCTATTATTAATTTCATTTGTAAAATTTAAATTTTAAAAGGAATTAATTCAGCGTATTGAAATGAAAAAAATAAAATAAACAAATAAATAATTTACCTCCATCTACTTCGTACAAAAAATCATCGTCATTACTATCTACGTCTGGAATACTTAAGTAATAATCAAGA